TTTAAAGTTTTGACCCTAAAAAATTCCTTATTTTTACTGCTTCCCCAGCGTATGTGATACCTGTAGAAAAGGAAGGCCAATGATGAAGACATATTTGAAGCAACTTTTTCCTTTACAGTAAAAAATTCAATAAAGAATGTTATCCTTGAGATTTCTGAGCCTCATCTTTGCGAACAATGCCGAGTCAAATAGTTTATTGTTGTATTATCGCAAGCAAAAGACACCTTCTTCCTGGGAGGAGTGCCTTTTGATGGATACATATATGTATGTATACTGAACTATTACGGATATACACGAGGATCTAGACAGCACCCAAAAAAGAGAAATTCAACTGGACCCGACAAAGAGGAGGCCCAGAAATAGGTTAAATCCAAAAGTTCATCATAGAAAGTTTCAGTAGTGGACATAGTCCACACTATTTGCAATGAAAAGTCCTCTTTTACAAAGCCTTTTTCACGCTATTTGGTGGCTTTGCTTCAACTTGCTCTTTTGACTTGCACTTTCCACCTACCATCATATCTTTCAACAAAACAAAGAGGATTATATTTGTAGCTTCACGTTAAAACAATTCAGAAGCTTCTTTGCCGACTAAAGTTATATTAACTTAGTACCATGATGAAATCAATATTTACTGATGTAGGAGTAATGTGAATTACGTACTGCATAGATTTAAGATACTTGTTGATTCATGAAGCGAGTCGAATTTCTCGAACAAGGATCAAATCGATACCTAACTTGTTACATCATTAAGAGGAGAACAGATCAAATTGTATATCGACTTCCAATAATTTCACAAAACCAGGAAGTCTGCAATAACAATTACAAATCACTTACTTCCATACCTATCCTTTGCAATGTTCATATTCATATGAAAACACTGTTTAGCCTATCCTAAAGTACTGCCAAAATTGACAGGACAATCTAAAATCTAATAGATGACAGTTCATAGCAGAAAAATAGACTTGAATGCTAAGGGAAAAATAAATTAGTAACTGCTGTTTTTGTCTCTCTTCAACTAGGAATTTCCTGCCTGTTACAGATCAAAAAATTAGGGCAAGTGTGATGTACGGCTGCTGATAACACCAGCTTTTTGATCATCTAGCAGCAACAGCATGGAGCTTGGTTTCAGACATAGAACTTTCATGTGCCTCACAATCCAGCTGAGCATTCCTGCTTACAGAACCCAAATTGCTAAGTATGTTCTCGGTACCAGTTGGCAGGTCCAAGTCTACTTCAATCTTGACTGAAGCAATCCCTCCTTGCGGCACTACCTGTGCATGTTTCAGCTTCTCCTACAAGATAAAACTCATGTTAGATCAAGCTACAAGTGAATGCACATACAGCTTAGGTTGAAACAAGCAGATCGGCCAAATCAGCTTTCCTTGATTTTCCATGGTCAACTTAACACAGTAGCACGTGCTACAAACATATCTGAACAAAACTCATTTCAACACTACATCCCGACTGCATTGTAAATTCTGACATTTGGTCAATTTTCGGCAACCAAAAGCAATAAAACGTGATAATTCAGTATGTAGATGCCTGGGTTACTCTTAAGTATATGCTGGGTGGGTATAAGAAATTGAGATCTCCCTCTGAACATACTTGTTCAACTGCCTCTGGTTTCTTGGGAAAAATATGCATGGAGTTTTACTAGTTGGGTTACCATTGGTGGTGCATAGAGAGAACAACCTAGAAGACTGGTTCTTTTGGCATAGTTTTTTTGTTGTTGACTTTTAAGAATCCATGTACAAAGACAAACTAACAATGAAAATGACGGGAAAGAAAAAATGGCAACTTGCGTACACAATAAAAAATTCTTGAAAACATAAACTTCAACAGCTCAAGCATTGGTAAATAAGTTCTATGAGGAAGTTACCATTAATGTGGCATTTTCAAGCCTCAATTTCTCTGAATCCCCTTTCAGTTCTTCTAGTTTAGATTTAAGGGCCATTTTCTCCGTGTTTAACGATTCAAATGTCCTCACCAGTTCCTCATATTCAGCCTGCTTCCTCAACCTAGATCTCCTTGCAGATTCTCTGTTAGCCTGCTTCCTTTTCTCTCGTTTGACCTGCCTTTCATCCTGATGAAATCAACATGTGTAATGAATAGCGTGAATATAGCATACTACTACTATGAGTTATCTTAGAATTTGGTGCATCCAAGATGATCCCAAACTCAAAATTACACAAAAGTCAAGAATATAACAATGTTTCAGCAAATAACTGCCCTGCAGAGTCTCAAGATGGGCTCTGTTTCACAGCTAACTCTGGCTCACAAAATTTGAGGAAATTCCAAATCCGTAATCTTTCATCAATCCCATGGTTTCAATTCAAACCAGTAACTGAGTGTTGTTCAAAACAAAAAAATAGAAAAGTATCAAAGGCTGCAATTCTTTTAAACAACTATCCCAAGTTGAATACAAATTGAGGTACAAAGGCAAAAGCTTGCAAACAAATAAGTAGTACCAACAACAACAACAAAAGAGTAAACATTTCCTTACCAGAACCATTGCATCAAAAGGCAACCCTGCACCAGCGGAAGGAGCAACAAAAGCTGTGCTAATTCCTATTTTCTCATATGAGGAACGAAGAGATACTCCCAAAAAACCAGCAGGAGGTCCAGTACCAGAAGCATTTGTGGAATTCTCATTCACTTCTCCATTAGTTGTAGGCCTGACCTGAGTATGGACTTTCACATCATTATCTGTTGCCCAGAAGATTAAGAAAACAAATCAGTCAGGATGAAGCATTTGGTTAGGGTTGCATGTCCCAATTTAGGACCATTACAGAATTCCTCGTCCTTCATTCAAGTAAATCAGAAACTATCCCCTTTTCTATACAAAATTGACAGATGAGGGATGGGCAACAAAAACAGGCCGCAAAATTGTTCCCTCCCACAACGAAACTCAGAAATCCTGATTAAAAATTCCCACGCTACAAACGCAAAGTAACTAATGAGAAATAGGTGCCATACCAGCAAATCGCATGCTTCCAGACCCATTGTTCCTCTGAGTGTGGTGATTGTCTTCCTAATAGATGAAATCCAAGATTACTCTAACTTCATGCATAAATATCATCTAACCATCACATACAACAAAGGGCCAAAATCCATCACATATGAACAGGCATAATGAAAGGAAATTCTTACTTTAGTGTTGCCATCACTGCCATCTGTCAAACCATCAATATTTTGTCCCAAACTGCACATGGTCATAGAATCAAAATTTAGATTGGCTCCATCCAGAGACAACATCATAAAACTAACTGGAAGCTGCTGCCTGGTGCATAATCTCAAAAGTATATATGTATAAAATAAAATAAAAAGGAAGTACCTTTTCGATGCCTCAAGGACTGGGTGCCCGGTATCCTTGAGACTGTCGTACTCAACTGGCACTGCAGTTCCATCCAATCCCTTCAACTTCTTTTTCACATCTTGGTCCATGTTGTCCAATGATTTTCTTCTACTTGAAGAAACTGTCATACGCAGCAGCTCAGTGTCAAGTTACTCTTCACAGCTGCATACTCGGAACGAAAAACTGGTGATTTTTTTTCTTGAAAGTTTTTCTAAAAAAGTAAACAAATATTTTGGTAATAAAAAATTTAATCCCCAATTTGGCACACTTCAGCAGCTGGGCTTTAACTTGTAAACTCATTTAACCAAGATAATACGTGTCAGAAAACAAGCTCGCACCCAAAAAATAAAACCTTCATCAACATTTTCATCGGCACATGCATAAAGAACCTACCATTTTTTCCCTCAGTAATTCATCGACCACATGCCAATTAGTTTTTACTTTAACCATCCATTAAAATAACTAATCATTTCGACGTGAGGATTTATCAAGCCTTGTTGCTTTCTCGAATATCCTACCAACCAAGGCTACCCTCCAAAAATTGACAAATATTTTCTAATTTTAAATATTTATTTAAAAATAACGAATAAAAATTTGTCATCTTCTACAATTGATTTTGAAGTTTTAAACTTTCCCCTGTTCAGCATCCGTAAATTCAAATATCCAGAAAGTTTCCACATTTAGGTTCTGAGTCATAAACATAAACATTTGGAATCCTAACAAAACATGAGAACAAATTCAATGTACCTGAATCTCCTGAAAGAGCAACTGAAACCAAAGAAATGATTCTGAAGGAGCCGAACAAACCCTAACCCTAGCTAGCTCCTTAATTTTCCCGCCTGTACTTTCCTCGCTTGCAATTTCGTCGGTCGGAGATTGATGAGATGGAAAACGCTTTTAGCTGGAGGATAAATAGGTGGTGATGAACAAGACAATGAAGGAGGAAGGGAGGGAGAGAGGAAGGCGAAACGTCAGCCGCTCGGCGGGTTTTGATGTGCTGTGAAACCGGAAGCGTGGAACACCGGTGGTCTGGTCGTGAAATGGGTTAATAGGATTCGCCAAGGTGATACACATGGCACTCTTGCTCTGTGCCATACACGTGTCGAACAGTGATTAGCTACATTAAAGTCAAGTTAAAAAGCGAGTACGTGGTACGCTGGAAGTTGGCTGATGTTCCTCTTCATGCGACTTTCGTTGTCTGACCAAAAAATATGTTGTACCGGTCAGTTGGACCCCCCTGACAAACCGTTATTCGTACGAAACGAAAATCATATAGTCCTTGATTGCACCTAGGGTTCAATTGATTTTTATTTATTTATTTAAAGATTTCAATTGATAAATGTCGATTTATTATGAACCTCACATAGCTTACAATAAAAGAGTTTATAACATTGTTTTAGTTCACAAAGTGATTATTCATGAGATAGTAATTTACGAGTTTAGTCAAGTGAAGTTCAACTTTAATCCGTTCATTTTGTGTCGTGTCGAGTTCAAGTTATGTGATCATAGGCTTAAAAATTACTATCCTAGATGGATGTAACAAATTATAAGTATTAGACTGTAATCACTGTTAAAGTGGGCAGGCTGCACCATCAGAAATGCAACCAATCCTCCACCATGAGTTTCAAGTTTCGCATATCACCAAGAAGCAAAAGAAAAATATAATTCTATATAATCATTCCTTCCCTAGGTTGAAATGTAAAATTAGGGCAATTGAAGAATGATGGTATAGTACATGGTATAGTACATATAGAGGTATAATGTATAATACATGATTAAGACTCCTGACTTCCGGTATCGTTGATGAGGAATGTATGATGTCGGCATCCAGAGCTTCTGAGAGTAGTCTGATCGGCAGCACATGCATAGAAATAAGTTCTCATATAACCTCTTAATTCAGCATCCATTCTTTTAAGGCTGCTTGAATCAGCTTTCAGCAGAAAAATCTCTACACCACTCCAATCCCGGGTCAAAGAAGGCATTGAAGGCAATGCTGTAAATGAATGGAATTCCCTTTCTGTATGTACTTGTTTGAGTTGTGAGACAAGTTAGATCACACAGCTGTACATATTGCTCCTGAAAAGAAAGATAAATAAAACGTGTTACTAAATTCAAGCTCATCCCTTTAAGCTTTAACCATGACTTCTATATTTACTAATGTATTCAACATTTTATTCAAAGTTCTTAGTACCTGTAATGTGGATTTACATAACAAGAATTTTTTGTAACTTTTATATAATGATTTGTGTATGTGTTAGAAGAAAAAGACCAATCTCTGTTCCCGTAAAAGATTTTAAAAAAAGTGTGTTAGAAAAAGACCCACAGACCTGGCAACCAGGAGGAGCAGCAAAACTTGCGTTCATCAATGTGCTTCACATCAAGTCCAATAAACCATGATCCAGCACTAACATCATCGTGAGCATATGTACGAAGAATAGACCTGCAAAACCGACACAAATCTATAAACTAAATCCTGCCAGGCTTGTCTGCATGCTAAATACTATTAAAAAGTTCTTTTTAAAAACAAGAAGCACACAGAAGTACCTGTTTATGGATATAAACTGAGCTAATGCTCTAGAAATGGCAAACAATTCACCAGAAGCATGCGTAAAGTATCTGCATTAGACAAGATGTGCAATTTTGAGCCAAACGAAAAGTACAGTACTTGAAGATAACAACCTAGCACCTACCATGATTGTTGAGGAGATAATCCTTTAAATACGAGAAATATAGGCAATCAAATATCACACAGAACACTCTAAGGCGTTCTTCTTTAGGAGTAACCACCAGGGAACTTAGAGAAAAACAGTGCATCCACTTTCAATGCGTCTTTTTCCCTTTTTAAAAAAAATATTTTTTTTGTGGGCTACTCTTTCAGTTCATGTCAATTTAAGAGAGTGTTTTACTAGCCTAACTAACCACCATCTCTTTCAGAGACACACCTTCCCAGCATTCCTTTACTCATATTCAACAACCCAAGCTCCACTCTATCCCCTCTCTTTTCCTAACCACCATCTTTAACACAGGTTACATACATAATGCCTAAATTTCCACGAGAGAAAGAGAGAGAGATCATCAACATGGAGTCAAGAAATCTATCTTCTATTCAAGGATATAAATGAAAATGCTCTTTGCTTACGATTTTGCATCGCCAAATTTCCACCAGTCTGGTTCATGCCACTTGTGTGTTCTGTATAATTAAGACAATAAAAACAAAACAAAAAAGTTACACCTAATCTTAAATGCCTCATAAGTTCAAAGTTTTCATCAAATAAAGCACACTTTCCACACTCACGGCTCAGAGAACACTTCGCCTGATTTCATACACCCAATATAGACACGAGGCTTATTCAAATACGCAGTTAGTGTTGCTCCTAGGACATCTGAATCATAATCAAACGCCAACAATTAGCATGCACTTTAAAAATCTGTTTAGGAACTGTTCTGATATGCTTAACAGTCAAACATTACTATTCTTATTTTTCAATAAGCCCTTTTATCATGTTATTTGGTTCCACCACAGTTATACCTGTAGTGTCCACAGGTAAGCTATTCAGAAGTTAGACAAACAATTACAGCATTTTGCAGCATAATTTTAGCGGTAAAACAATGGCAAACGACCAAATCTCTAAATTGAAATTACATATTATTCTGCTTTGATTTCTGAGATGGAAAATGACAAGATAACCATATACTTATGGTGTCATCCAAAAGTATCTTTTGTTTTCTCAAATAGTAAATGTTATCCAAATTAATTACCTCAGATTAATGTTATGCAGGTATAACAGAAAGTGTCACTAGGATTCACTATCTTCTTGATACTGGAAAGAATTGTGTGACTACATACCAATATTAACATAAACATCATCATTGACTTTAACATAAAACTCAGCATCCCAATTTTCTACAGCATGAATATAGAATGACTTCAACTTCTTTGGCCGCTCCTCAGATGCCTCCACTTGACCATCCTGTAAAAAAACAAAAAAACAAAACAAAGAAAGAATGTAAGTGGCATTTTGATATAACATTATCTGCTACTATATGGAGCATTCCTTGGGCATGTTGACTAACTGCATATTTAAGCAATCACAAATATGATATATGAACATGAGGGCTGTGCAAATTTTGGTTAAGGGTCATGAACAAGATGCAAGAAATAAAAATAAGGAGAGCACAGTGAGCTTATTTTTCCTCAAACTACAATTTAAGGCTATATTGGCTAATTCATAACTACAAACTAGCTATCACTTAGAAAATGGAACAAGTCAAAAATTAACAGAAACATACTCTGGTGGTCGAACGAAGTTAAAGATACACATAATTGTATGTACATAAACACATATATTGATAATGTATATTTTGAAAATTTCACATATAAATCCCACATAATATTGTTAAAACAGTTTCATTCAAATAATTGAACATACAAGAACAAGGAAGTCATTGGTCTGCTCATTTTCTCTGTCTATTTGCCTGTCCAAACTGTCTCCACGATTTGGGCTGCAAGATATACATACTTAACTGAACAGAACTGTAGACAATTCCTTGTCATCATTCTAAATCATCGATATACAGACCTTCTTCCAATTACAAATCGCACAACGATGCCCTTTTCATCTGCCAATTTCTTTAGTGCTGCACCTGCACATATTGTATTCAGATTCGTTAACATGGCCACATGAGCAAAGAAGAGCATATCTATTTTTAATGCTGGACCTGCCAACTGATGAAATTGCAAGCAGAGCAAAAGAAACAAACAATGAAATGTTCAATAATTACCGCTAGGCATCCACGCCTTACGAATTGCATCCCTATTTTTCTTGCGGCCAAATGTTGTAAAAATTCCTATAACAGCTAGAAGCTTCTTCTTAGAATGAGCCCCTTCATTTTTTGACAAGCTCTTTGGAACAAAACCTTCCTGTCTTGCTGCAGCTAGTTGCATCTCAAGAGTGGACAACTGCTTCTGTTGCTCCCTAGAAAGTAAATGATCATCATTCATCACAGTAAGTAAGCCCAAGATCATAATGCCCAAATACGACCCCCTTTTACAGAATAGTTTGGATTTATTTACCTGCAAGCTATAACTTTAAGCGTGTCGTCGACAGATATGGCAGATTCTCCCTGAAAAATGACAATGAACGATTATCTGCCCCAGTAAATAATTTCTTTGAATACTTATGAAAGCAGCAGAGGTTGAAATTCTACGCTGATAAACTTTTAAATTTTAATATATTAAAAATATATATATATTCAACTAAATAAAACCAGCATGGTAAATCCAGAAGAAAACAAAATAAACAAAACCAAAGCATAAAAATACCTGTCCACTTCTATTATCAAGCTCCTGAATCAAATAAACCCTATCCGCAGCATCCTGCCACAGACTACCAACATCACATCCTCATCAGACATTCATCAAAAATCAAACTTTTCGCCAAAAACTCAAAAGTAAAATTCAGAATAGCCTCGGTTACAGCTCAAGAAAACAAAATTCAAAAAATTCAAAAAACTCACCGGCCGGCGACATAAATGGCGGCCATGGTGGAAAGCATGGCCAGCAAGAGAGCTGAAATTCGAGAGTGAAAAGCCGAACCAGATAGCCGGTTCTGCGATGCCCGGCTATGCATGTTTTTGGTCCAACAAAAAACGAAGAGAGAGCTTGAATGGATTTTGGTGAGTGGTCAGTCAGATCTGGGAGAGGTTTCAGAGCTCGATCAAGCTGTGATTGAGTTTGAAAACTGATAATTGATTTGAACAAGGTTGGAGGAGGAGGAGGAGGAGGAGGGAGGTGGATGAGTGAAGAAGACGTCGTAACCGATTTACCATTTGCTCCAAAGTAACGGGATTTTTGCAATTAATTTTACATCCTCGTTATAAATGAGTTACCAAAATAATTTACCGGGAAATCTCTCTCCACGTTTTCTGAGGACCCATTACAGTAATAAATTTGGAAACTCCTTCTTTTTTTTCTTTTTTTTTTTTGGTCTGAACCATGAGGTGGTCCTGAATGGGCCCCAACTATAGGTGGCACCTTTAAGCCTTAACCACAACCTAGACTAATCCCCACTCATACCGGGTCGCCCATAAGGGGTAAAGTGTTGGCCAAAGTGGTGACTCCGTACGAGAGCAGGGATCGAACCCCTGATCTCTCTTAAGGAATGAGAGTGCCGAACCACTTACACCAACCACCTTGGTTGGAAACTCCTTCTTTTGGTTAGTCATTTCACATGCATCTATATATACAAAGTAAAATGTAGAGAATGGTAAAATATTTAAGATATCAGAAAATGTCCTTGAGTAATGTAAATATTAAAAATTGAAATTATTAATTAAATGAGGATATTATTGTAAATTTACAATTTTTCATATTAAAAAATAATAATAATAAAAAACAAAAATCAGATAATGAATCCTATTTTTATGGAATACAACTACCCATTATCTTTTTTAATTCTAAAATAAATTTAAAACTTTTTAAAAAAAGCTCGCGGAAGCGTGTGCGGAGAGGCTAGTCACGGATTAAAAGTATAAACTATTGTGTCTATTGGCATTCTAATTTCTAGAGAATTAACTCATTAGGAATTCATCTTTTTTACCCGTTATATCCTTGCACAATTTTAAAATTTTAAAATTTGACATCTACTTTAACCCAACAATGAGAATATTTTAGTAATTAGTACCACTTATACCCAAATTTCATATGGTTTAGTAAACAACTTCAATAGGAATCTAACTCCCCTAAATCTATATGGTTTAGTAAACAACTTCAATAGAAATTCAGAATCTGATTGAGTTACCTGAGTATCCAAGTCTAATCAAGTCATAAGTGCCCTATAGTAGTCTTATGGTTAGAGTTTGAGGCTTGAGAAAGGTTTAAGGCTTGGATTTAGGGTTTGGAGGCTCAAATCCATTTTCCAAAATTAAAAATAATTTTAAAGTCCACAAAATTATTTAAGATAAGTAAATATAATTAATTAGTATTTATTAAGTACTTTATGAAATTAATTAAAATACTTTAAATACTAATTTTTCATTAAATATATAATAATTAATATAATTAAATAAGGCTAAGATATTACGTAGTTGCAAATATTAAACTAAACAAACTAATTTTGTATTCGCTTAATTACAAAAAAGAAAACCATTTTGTGATGTATAGCCGCGCGGCTATACTTTTAAAATATTCAAATACATTTAAAGAGTATAGCCGCGCGGCTATACCTTTAAAGCATTCAAATATATTTAAACAGTATAGCCGCGCGGCTATACGCGTTAAATATTAATATATTCTGAAAGTACAGCCGTACGGCTATACGTTTAACATATTCAAATATATTTAACGACATTTAAAATATTCGGTATTAAGAAAAAAGGTTCGATTTATATTGTAAAAAAATACAAAAATAGGACGCAAAATTAAAGAAGATAAATAAGTGACAGCTCAGAGTTAACTAGAAAAAACCAAAATAAAGATCACTCACGCTTATTGACGATGCATATATAAAGCGGTTGATATTTTGTCCTCGTAGTTTCTCGTTTATAATTCACCACCGGAGAAGGGCTTACAGTCACTTGCTCTGCGCGCGAGATAAGAGAGAGAGTCTTCGATCTTCTCCGATTCGATTCAAAGATCAGCGAAAATGAACGACGCAGATGTCTCCAAGCAGATCCAGCAGATGGTGAGGTTCATTCGCCAAGAAGCTGAGGAAAAGGCCAACGAGATCTCCGTCTCTGCTGAAGAAGTACTTTTCCTAATTCTCTCACGACTCTCTTCTTTTTCCCCAATTCTTACTTTTCTTCTAACCCTAAATTTCAATTTAATCTCGATCCGTTTTTGTAATTCATGCGTAATTAAGTTTCTGTACATATATACGGGTGTTTGATTCTTTGTGCGAATTTGTGTTGTTATTGTAGGAATTCAACATTGAGAAGTTGCAGCTGGTCGAGGCTGAGAAGAAGAAGATCAGGCAAGAGTACGAGAAGAAAGAGAAGCAAGTCGACGTCCGAAAGAAGATGTATAATTACTTAAACCTTCCTACCTAATTTTGTTTATATTTCTCATTCCAACAAAGTCATATCATTGTTTTATCCCTGATGGGCGAAACAATCATTGAGCATTCTGCTGTTAGGAATTTATGGATATGGATCAATAGTACGGTTTCAAATATCAGTTACTGTTAGGTTGAATTTTGAGTTGGAATTAGTAATCGCGGATGTTGTGGAATACGATAGTGAGTTTGGAAAGTTGGGAAGTGGTGAAGATGATGATTTTGTTAAGTTTATGGATTTGGTGGAAAATTGTGGAAACTGGTTTGAACATAAGTTAAAAATGAGTTGAATATGTGGGAAATCTTATTGTCATGAGAGGCTTGATGAATTTTAATGTGGCCCAAAATTTAGGGGCTTGTTGTATTTGGATTTTGAAAACCATACTTTATGAAGCTAATAGCTCAAAGGGCATTGGAGTAGGCAGGGAAGAGGTAGGACTAGTCTCAAATCTTATTGTAAAGAAATCAGACTGTATGTTCAATCAAATTGAGTTCTTTGTTTATTCGCTGTTGAATTTGGGTTGTTGGAGGATGGGTTCACTAAGGGAAGCTTTTCCTTTCTTGTTTCTCCTATGGCTATGCAAAAATGGCACATATGTGGGTAACTAACAGTTTGTTGTCTCGGTTTTTGCAGTGAGTACTCTATGCAGCTTAATGCTTCTCGTATTAAAGTTCTTCAAGCTCAAGATGATGTGGTTAACTCCATGAAGGAGGCGGCTTCCCAGGAGCTTCTGAATGTGAGCCAAGATCACCATGGTTATAAAAAGCTTTTGAAAGATCTTATCATTCAGGTTTGTTAAACTTCTTATATGGTATGGTAGACATGGCTAACCTGCCTCACCAGTTTTTATGTGCACCTACGTATCTATCATCTAGTGGCAAATTGGCAATGGCTCGAGTTCGGGTGATTCCTGACTTCCTGGATGATTTCTAGTTCACTTTAACTTTATGCACTCTTGCATGGATAAATTAATAATTACCACTGGTTTACTGAAAAATTATGATTTTGGGACACAGAGTTTGCTCAGGCTGAAGGAGCCTGCTGTTTTGTTACGTTGTCGGAAAGAAGACCTACATCTGGTGGAGGCTGTTTCGAAATCAGCAGCACAGGAATATGCAGACAAAGCAAATGTTCATTCACCAGAGATTATAGTGGACACCACTGTCTTTCTTCCACCTCCTCCTACCCATCATAATCCCCATATTTCGTCCTGGTACGGTACTTTCTGCCCCTTAAATTTGTCAGAAGTTTGCAATTAGGACTTGGATTTAATATGGCTTGCTATTTAGCTTCCCAAACAGCTCTCTTTTATATATTGAAAGAAAGTGGAATGATGGAACTTGCTGATGATAACTTTTGATTGTTCAGTTCTGGAGGTGTAGTGTTGGCTTCTCGAGATGGGAAGATTGTATGTGAGAACACCCTTGATGCACGGTTGGATGTTGTATTCCGTAAAAAGCTTCCAGAGGTATTTTCCTTGCAAAGTATCAGTTTCGTTTTTATAATTCACTTTTCGCCACTGCGATATTAGGTTGTAGGCTGCTTTATTTATGCTCTCAGGAACTGAGCTTGTATTCTTGTTATTGCAGATCCGCAGAAGGCTCTTTGCTCAGGTTGCTGTGTAATGGGATGAATTGCATGGTTTTCTTTTACCCTGAATTATGTGGCCTTGGAGAGATTAAGGACTGGTCATTGACCACCAAAGAATCTTTTGTCCAATTATTTGTTTGTGTTTTTCCCATTTTTATTGTGGTCCGAATAACTTTTATATATGTGCTCCCAAAATAGCTTTAGCTGTTATGTGCTTTGGTGTTCATATCTCGTCTGGGGCATGACAATGAACTCATTCTTGTTGGTGATGATGATTTTAATAAAAGTTTGCAGCTTAGAGTATTTACCGCTTTTTATATCTTGGTTGGTACCAGATCGTTTTTAAAGTTTTTTTAATCTGATGAATCTTAATAGAACCAGTGGTGGGTATGAGATAGCACGTGAACTGTCACGTGAACCATTTCTGTATAATTGCAATTTTATATTATTCAATTTTAAAGTATGTCGGTGATCAATGTTTTGTCGTCGACTTCATTATTGTTTCATGAACCATTATCATTACTTGAAAGGCTTATTATCACAAAAGGTCCTAGGGTTTACGAAACTATCAGATTGCATCCTTAATGTTTTTTTTTGTCACTCGTGGTCCTCAAGGTTAGTATGTATAATCACAAATGGTCTCTGCTGTTAGGTTCCGTCAAAAACTCCGTTAGTTTGCTGACGTGGCATATATACATATCACAAAACATCCCTAAGGTTTACACATCTATCACAAATGGTACTTGTGAAATTTTTTAATTTAAAATTCATAAAATTTTGGTTTTCTTTTTTATATTATTTAAAAATATATATTGTATTTTAAATACATATGACACTATATTTTTGAAGATGTGGGCTCCACATATATGCCACACCAACAAACTAATGAAGTTTTTTTAAAATAATTTAAAATTCATAAAATTTAAAAATGAAAAAACCATTTATATAAGGATTTTAACCTT